GTTTTCTAGAAAGTCTGTTTCTTCTTCTGTTAGTGGAAATTGGAACAGCACCGCAGATTACCTTCTCAAATGTGTGTTTCTGAAACACTAGTTTAGTTTACTTACATTAGTTTACCTACACAATGTTTAAATTATCCAATAAAAGACAGATGATGGACCAATTAAAATTTGACAGTGTCATTTGGAATGGGGTGGGGGGTGGAAAACAGATGGATAGGGGAAGACTTAGAATCTGTTATATCTAAATACCTATCATTCCTCAGACATGGGCCCAGAATAGGGAGTACACTCATCCCTCCACATTTGCTGGGGTTAGGGGTGCAGGACCCCTGTGAATGTGGAAAAACTGCAAATAACAAAAACACTTATGTTTTTACCTGAGAGAACACCTCTCTAGGAATCTCTAGATCCTCCAGTGCAACTCTGTGTTCAACACCTGCCTAGCAACAAATGCCCAGTGAAGTGTTCTCTCTAGGAATCTCTAGGTCCTTCAGTGCAACTTTTGATCATAGTTGATCATAGAGTTGTGCTGGAGGACCTAGATATTCCTAGAGATAACGCATTAATGAAATCCATGAATAATCAAATCCACAAAAGTCAAAGCTGCAAATGTGGAGGGAAGAGTATAGTTGTATGCCTTCAAGTCATTTCTGACTCATGGTGACCCAAAGATGAACTCATTCTGGGGTTTTCCATCCAGTCCAACCCCCTGACATGCAGGAACTCAAAATCAAAGCATCCCTGATAGATTGTCATCCAGCCTCTGTTTAAAGACCTCCAAAGAAGAAGACTCCACCACACTCAGAGGGAGTGTGTTCTACTGTCAAACAGCTCTCACTGTCAGGAAGTTCCTCCTAATGTTGAGCTGGAATCTCTTTTCCTGCAACTTGCATCCATTGTTCCAGGTCCTGTTCTCTGGGGCAGCAGCAAACAACCTAGCGCCCTCCTCAATATGACATCTCTTCACTAACAGGGTTATCATATCCCCTCTTAACTATCTCTTCTCTAGGCTAAACATACCCAGTTCCCTAAGTCATTCCTCATAGGGCAAGGTTTCCAGACCCTTTACCATTTTAGTCACCCTCCTCTGGACACGCTCCAGTTTTTCAACATCCTTTTTGAATTGTGGTGTCCAGAACTGTTCGCAGTATTCCAAGTGGGGCTTGACCAAAGCAGAATAGAGTGGCACTATTACTTCCCTTGATCTAGATACTATACTTCTACTAATGCAGCCTAAAATTGCATTGGCCTTTTTAGCTGCGACATCACATTATTGACTCATGTTCAACTTGTGGTCTACTAGGACTCCTAGATCCCTTTCACATGTAGGAGTTTATCACATGGGGAGCCCCGTGCAGAAATGGTACTTTAAAGAGTAGAAAAAAATGCAAAAGCGGAAGCAATTTATCAGTGGGATTTCTCTGTGTGATAAACTCCAGAGCAGTTAAAAGGAGGTTAATCCGAATGGAAATTAGACAAAAACTGCTTCTTTTTACTTTTGGGATCTTCCGAAAGTAAAAAAAAGCAGTTTTTGTCTTATTTCTGTTTGGATTAACCTCCATTTAACAGTGACGTTGTCTGAAAAAACACCTGCTTTTGCGGGTTTTGTTTAATTTAAAGCTCCGTTTCTGCATGGGATTTCCCCCGTGTGATAAACTCCGTAGTCTCATTAAGCCAGGTGTCCCCCATCTTATATCTATGCATTTCATTTTTTTGCCCTAAGTGTAGTACCTTACATTTCTCTGTGTTGAAATTCATTTTGTTAGCTTTGGCCCAGCTTTTTAATCTATTAGGATTATTTTGAATTTTCATCCTGTCCTCTGGGGTATTAGCTAGTAAGCTAGTAAGTAAGCTTCATTGTTCCTTGATGCTAGCTTGCATGTAAGTAGGAAGATAATAGAGTTGGAAGAGACCACAAGGGCCAACCTGTCCAACCCATTGCCAATTTTTTATTATAAAGTTTTTAAATGTTTTTTATTTGTGAACTGCCTTGGGTCCCTTTTGGGAGAAAGGCAGCATAGAAATGAAATGAGATGAGATGAAATATTTTCCAAAGCATATTAAGAGTGCACAATATGGAAGAGAAAGTGCTTAAACACATTCTGCATTTATCCCTCATCCAGGCACTTGTATTACATATAGGCAGCCATGTTATGAAAGCTGAAAAGCAGTTTCTATGACATGTGATAGCAATTTGATACTTCTTCATTCATCCCATGTTTCCACAGAATCTGCATTTCTAATCTATTCTGTCCAGCACTCATTTAGGAAGTACGTCAAAGCAGCTTTTTCCCATGAGCTTTACATTCGCCTCCTAAAGAATCATAGAGTTCCAAAGAATCACATTACCTATATGTGTGCTCAAAAAGAGAGATGTGACTTTAGCTCAGAAAGAAATATCTTTGCACATGTACAGACCAGTAAATGGGAAAAGAAATCAATTACCCAAAAGGTCCAAGGAAATAGCAACTGCGCTAGGAATAATAAATGTGCTTAGTCCTCAATTTATGAAAGCAATAGAATATGTGAATAGTCTAAACCTCATGATACTGTCAAATGAGAGGGTCAAACATCTCAGAGACGAAGATATTTCCAGAAGCACTCAAGGTAGCTCTGTCCAAAAAGAAAGAAAGAATCTGATTTAACAGCTAAACTACAAAGCATCTGGGCAACTCACAGGAGCTGTCTGGATCTCTGAAGATGGGATGACAGATTTCAGTATTTGTCCAGATATAGAAGGCTTCCAGCATGTTGTCCTTTAAAATGTCACAGTTAATGAATGTGTACAATTATAATTGTTGTCAAACTATGGAAGCCAAAAGGGACCACTCTCAGCATGTACTCTCATGCAGATATCTGCCAATTGGATACCTTGGAAGGCAATTCCCAATCCACATGGAATATATTGTGATACAAATTAAAAGGTAAAAGTGATGAAAGTGATCTGAGATAAGATGACATGTGTCTTAGTTGCATCACATGGGGAAGCATTGGAACAATTTCTGAGAAGTTCATTTGATATAAGGAACTGCAGCCAGAATGTTAACTGGTTATAGGGATCATACCACTTCTCAGCTCCAGTAGCTTCACTGGCTGTTGATCTGTTTCCAAGTACAAAGTGCTAATTATGACCTATAAAAACCTATACAGCTTACTATCTGACAGACTATCTCCTTGCAGGAGCCAGTGCAGGTCCTGAGATTCTCCGCAGAGGTCCTTCACACATACCCAACTCCTTAAGCATATGAAACAAACATTTCTTTTTCTCAAAAAAAAAAAAAACAAAAAAAAAACCCAGGCACAGTGGGCCCTTGGTATTTGCTGGGGTTCCAGGATTTCACATGGATACAAAAATCCATGGATGCTTACATCCCATTAAATATAATGGCTTACTAAAATGGTGTCCGTCATATTAAATGGCAAAATCAAGTTTTGCTTTTTGGAGTTTTGGGGTTTGGTGTTTTGTTTTGTTTTGTTTTTAATATTGTCAAGTCATGCATGGTTGAATCCTGGATAAAGAATCCTTGGATATGGAGAGCCAGCTGTACTTACTTTGAAGAAGACAAACAGCAGTATAGCCAGGCTGAACATCACAACTTAGCACCCACCACTGCCTGGAAAAGAGGCATTTTGAGTGTTCAGTGCTAGCAGAGAATGCTTTTGGAGGCATCACATAAGCTGGTGGGGAGGGAGTTGGGAATTCTTCTGTAGCTCAGATTTTATTCTGAGCTGAAGTATTTGGGCACTTGTAGAACTTGGGTCTCCTTTAGGGAGAGCTTTTCTTAGCACTCCAGATATGTTTCTGCATTGAAGCACCAAGCATTTTATGGCATCACTAGATCATGAAGAAGGACATTGCCAGAAAAGATGAACACCCTTCCACTTCTGCAAGATGTATGCAAAAAAACTGCCTTTCACTTTTGGAAGATGTATGCAAGAATATGACAGTCATTATCAATTCATTTCCCATGTCTTCCTTATTTATGACATTGCTCACAATAGAATGCAACACTGTACTATCAGAGGTCCTTCATTAGTATTTACCCTCAAAAATTCATGGAACATCACTGACAGATTTTCTCTTTCTGTTTATGAGTCTTTGGATTATTCAAATTTTTTTCATTCCTGGAATATCTGGAGAAAAACTCAGAATAAATTTTGCCACTTTCTACATGCCTCCCTTCTACTGCATTTTTATCATTCCACTAACTACTTCACTGAGTTCTGCATCAACTCCATTTATAGAATAATTGAAACACCAAGTCTGCCTCCACTTGCCTTTCTTTTTTAAAAAACAAAGGTAAGAATTCAGAATCAGCTGTTTTAAAATTTATTTTTAAAAGAAGCTGTAATTTATCTTGCAATGGCAGCAATTTTATTCCCATTTCATCTAATGGTTATGCTCACATTTTAGTTATTAAAATTAATCTACTTCAATTATATTAAAATCAGTAGAACTGTGCTCTGCTATATTGATGGATAATAGCAATAAATGGGAAGAAGAATTCTGGAGTGTCATGCCTGCTAGAAAAAGCAACATTATAGTAGTAAATGCCTGATAACAGGAGAGGGAAGGAGAAACACATACCTCACTTTCTGGCAGAGGGTGTTATGAGATCATCCAGTAGATGTCAATTACCTCCTAAAGTTGTATTGCCTGTACCCAAAGGCAGATACAAACTTCAGGCAGCCATGTTAAACAAGAAATGCAACTATTTCTGAACACCAGTGCTGCAATGTAAGCCTCTCTTGTGCTGTCCTCTCTCCCACTCACTGTCCAACTTTGCAGCACCCCATAACAGGAAGCAATATTCCTTACCTAAAAGTTCAGTAGCTTTCATCCCCTGTTGGTGTGTGCCTTCAAGTCAATTTTGAGTTATGGTGACCCTAAGGCAAATCTGTCATGGGGTTTTCATGACAAAATTTATTCAGACTGGGTTTGCCATTGCTCTCCTCTGAATCTGAGAGAGGTGACTCTGAGGTCACCCAGTGGGTTTCCATGGCTGAGCAGGGATTTGAACCCTGGTATCTTGAGTCATAGTCCAATACTCAAACCACTACACCTTGCTGGGATTTCAGAATGCACAGAACAACTTTTTCTTTCTTTGCTGCTTTCAGTTATTGTAGGGCACTAATCCTACTATAACACATAAAACAACTAAATTTTGTGCAGCAGCAATTAAAATCCAAGAGGTGATGGCTTGCACCATGGTCTAGTATTATGAGTATCTAGTTGAGATTTGAGAGTATGTAGCTGGATTCTGTTCCCTGAGAAATAAATGTTTATCTGTATTTTAATGTATATTTATATGTATTTTTACTGCTTTTATGAGTTTTGGATTGTATTTTGTATGTTGTACAGTGGTACCTCTACTTACTAATGCTTCTTCTTACGA